TGTTTAAAGAGAAAGTGGGTGAGCTTGAAATCTGCCATTCTCCCTAAGGCCAGTAAGAGGGGAAAGCATTTTTAGGGAGCATAGAAGATACCCTGTTAAGACGTAACCCCATAACCAAAGAAAAATTCCAAGAAAGAGAACCAAAGTCAGTGTCAGAACACTGGCAAGAGAAGAAAACTCAAAAGGTGAAACGGTTGGGGAGCCGGTCTGTTTTGTGTGGTGAAGATGAAGTAGCCAACTGTGTAGAGCCTCCCCCTATCTGCCTGTACATCATGCCAAATCTAGATAGTCCAAGGAAGAAGACTTCAGAGTTCAGGAAACAGTGGGAGTCCAGTCGTTAGCAGGCACAAGGAAAACATACTCTTGGCAGAGATTTTTTAGTCTAATCATATGAAATCTTCTGTGAGGAAGGACAACTACAGCCAGATGTTTATCACCTCACCAAATGTGAGAATGGAACAACGTTCAAGCAGAAGTTCAGTGTGATGAACTGTGGTTGCTAATCAACATGAAGTGAATAAGGAAGGTTACATTTTGCCCTGAGATGTGGCTTAACAAGTTGATGTAGAAAGAAGCAAGGCTTGGTCTAGACTCAATACATGATGAGTCTCCCCAGCTTAATGAGTCTACTGTCAAAGCTACTGCAATTGTAAGATATAATTATGAAGAAAAAGCAATGATCTGATTAAGCAGGGTTATTAGCTAAATACTATTGAGCGGGCCACACTGAGTTATTGGCCCCAATTACATAAGTTTGAAAATTAAGTAATACATGCTGTGCTTCATAACAAAGAGCAAGGCGAATGCCTCATTTCCAAGAGACAAATCATTTTAAGTCTTTCCATCATCTTTGTGATTACAATGTTGGAATAATTTCAAGAAATATCATCATCACCTAATTAACATAGTTTATTTACACTCACTTTGCCTACCTACACCTGTAGTCCATCTCTGTCTGTCTGTCTGTCTGTCCGTCCGTCCGTGTGTGTGTGTGTGTGTGTGTTGTGTGTGTGTGTGTGTGTGTGTGTGTGTGTGTGTGTGTGTCTCAGTTAAAGTTTTATTAGTCCACTAATTGGTTATGTTCAAGTTTTTGGTCTTTGAACTTTGCCCAGCACCTAATGATTCCCCTAAACTTAATTAACATGCCTAAGCGTCCTTTATTTCCATGCAACCTTTCCCATCTTGTAACGTGAGAAGTCATAAAGGTGAGAAAGGAAGGAAACCATTCCTTCCACATTGCTTAGGTTAAAGAACCTGCTTTGTAGGCCAGGCAGTGGTGGTGTACATATGCCTTTAGTCCCAGGACTAGGGAGGCAGAGGCAGGAGGGGTTCAAGGCCAGCCTGGTCTACAGAGTAAGTTCCAGGACAGGCTCCAAAGCTACACAGCTAAACTCCATCTCAAAAACAAACAAAAACAACAACAAAAACAAAAGAACCTGCTTTGTAACTGGAGCCTGTATGCTCTTGGTTAACAGTCTGTGACTAAATTAGTCTATTTGATGACAGATTTCCTGAAAATATTATTTGAGGTAGCAGGCCAGGCTGCTGAGGGTCACCAATTTCTCCTGTTATCTCTCAAAAGAGACATTACAGTGAAGTCATGTCTCTTATAGTCTACCATTAACGACATAAAATCATGCCACATCTGTTTGGTTTTATGATTTTGAATTATAGTTTCCTGATACCTCCATCTTTTCTGAGAGTATTTAGTTGCTCTTTTCCCATGCTCACAAAGCATAAAGCAGCTACTTTTTTTAAAGTCATTTTTTTATTTTAAAAACAATCTTTTCTCATTTTACATACTAATCCTAGTTCCTGCTCCCTCCCCTCCTCCTACTATCTCCTTCTTTCCCCTATCCCACCCCTCATCTAATCCTCAGAGAGGGCAAGGCTTCCCGTGGCGAGTCAATGAACTCTGGCACCTTACTTTGAGGCAGGAACAAGACCCTCCCCCCATATCTAGGCTGAGCAAGGTATCCTTCCAAAGACAATGGGCTCGGAAAAGCCAGTTCAAACACTTGGGATAAATCCTGGTCCCAGTACCAGTGGCCCCACAGACTTCCCAAGCCACACTTCTGTTACCCACATTCAGAGAGCCTAGTTTGGTCCTATTTGAGCTGTCCCGTGGCCCCCCCCCCCCCGTTAGTCTGGAGTCAGTGAGTTCCCACTAGCTCAGGTCAGCTGTTTCTGTGGGTATCTCCAAACTGGTCTTGACACCTTTGCTCATGTTATGGCTCCTCCTTTTCTTCAACTGGTCTCTGGGAGCTGGGTCCAGTGCTTAGCTGTGGATCTCTGCATCTGCTTCCATCAGTTACTGGATGAAGATTCTATGATGATAATTCAGATAGTCATCAATCTGATTACAGGGGAAGGCCAGCTCAGGTACCCTCTCCACTGATAAAGCACTCCTTTTTTTTTTTTTTTTTTTTTTTTTTTTTTTTTTTTTTTTTTTTTTTTTTTTTTTTTTTTTTTTTTTGAAGCACTCTTATTTACATATCCATTCCCCCATTCTCTCACCCTCCCATCCTTCTATGTTCACCACCAACCCCACACAACCCACCCCCATCCCCTCCCCAGGGTAATGAGGTCCTCCTTGGGGGACCTTCAAAGTCCATTACATCATTTGGGAGGGCAGGCCCTCCTTCCTATATCTGGGCTGCAATAGTATCCCTCCATAGGGAATGGGCTCCCAAAGTCCATTTGTGCTCTAGGGATAAACATTGGCTCCACTGTTAGAAGTACATAGACTGTCTTGGCCTCCTAGCTAGCACCCACATTCTGAGGACTTGGTTCGGTCCAATGCTGGTTCACCAGCTTTACGACTGGGGTCTCAGTGCTCTTACTAGGTCAGGCCAACTGTTTCTGTGGGTTTCTCCAGCACTGTCTTGACTCCTTTTAAAGTACCTACTTTTATCATACCATTGAAATAACTCAAGGTTTTACTTACATAGTTTTTGTAACAGAATGTTGCATTATCTTTCAGTTTGGACTGAGTTAATTTTAGACCTGATAATTGGCTGGCTTCGTGGGTGTCTTCTTCATGCATCCTCGGGCAAATTGGAGTACTTTTTTCTCCCATTCTTGGCTCTTCTTCAGTTGCTTAAGGTTTTTTGACCAGTATATTCTAGACATATATCTGTCAGTATGAACATTTGTGGGTTTTTTTTTTCAGGATAAATACTTGGGAGAAAATCACACACACACACACACACACACACACACTTGAACTCAGGGCCTCACCTATGGCCTCACACATAGTAGGCAAGAGCTCTACCATTCGCCGATATTTCCAACCTCTGTTTTACTTTATAAAATGTTTTCGAAAGGGTGTTGCTCAGACAGGTCTTCAACTTGTAATCCTCCTGCCTTAGGTTCCTGAGGGCAGGGCTTACAGGCCTGGGCCACCACAGCTAACAGTGGCATTTTTCAAAGATTATTTTCTCCACCTATTTGCACAGTACTCTTGCTGGCCTGCCAGTAGAAATTCTTTGTAAGTAGAAGGGTTCAATTCCTGCTGATTGAAGTGAAAACAAGCTTATTGAGTGGACACTGGGAGCTGTGAGACTCTGGGAAGTCATGTGGTTGATGCTTATAAACTCCAGTTCTTGAAAGGCTGAATCAAGAACATCCAGCTCCAAACCAACCTCAGCTGCCTGGGCAGGGCTGCCCCCTCTCAGAAATGGAAAGTGGGGCGGGCAGGTTGGCGAGGGTTGAGCCGCTGGGTGCAGGTCCGAACCAGCACAGAGCAGCTCACCTCAGTGACTCTGGCCTTTGGCTGCTGCCAGGTCCTTTCCCATTGCTGTTCAGAGCTCCTAGCTCCACCATCACATTCAGGCCAGTGTCACTCACAGTTGCCTTATGTTTAACTCAAATTGATGACCAGGTCTTTACGTTGTCTGTGCTATTTTATTTTTTTAAATCATTGATGAGATTTTATTTTTGTAGTCCTGTACATATCAGACGAGATGGAAACCATGTTTATTTCTATTTTATTTTTGTTTGGGGGTGTGCTATGTGTATACATATGTATGTGAGCCTATGCACACATATGCAAAGGTCACAGGAGGATATTGTGTGTCCTGTTCTATTGCACTCTGCCTTATTCCTCTGAGCTCATGGTTTGGGTGAGGTCTGCTGGCCACCCAGGCCTAGGGATTCTCCTGTCTGTTTCTGCTTGCCTGTTGTTTCTGTCCTCATGTGATGGGGTCACGGGCTTGTACAACCATTCTCTGCTTTTAACGTGGGTGCTGGAAGTCCATACCCAGGACTTCATGCAAGGCCTCTTACCTACTAAACCATCTTCTCAACCCTCTAAACATTTCTTAAAAGGGAGCCAGCAAACTGTTATGTTCAGGGAATGTACAGAATGAAGGATTAATAACCATGTCACAAGGGGTATGAGGGGAGACAGGTAATTAGTGCTCATCACAAATGCTAGTGTTGGTATGATTAGTGGTCTGCAGCAGGCTAGCTTCAGAGAGGCCTTGACAGTGTGAGGAAAAGGCCTCTTTTCCTCCTGTTCTCTGTGTCTTCCATTCCATCATAGGAGCTTGCCTTTTTTTTTTTTTTTCCTTTAGAAAGGGTGTCATCTCATAGCTCAGGCTGCCTTGGAACTCACCGTGGCCAAGGCCAAACTGGAGTTACAGTGATCCTTTTGTCTTAAATGTCCCAGCTCTAGGGTTAAAAGCACTAGTGAGCCTGCACACGGCAGACTCTGCCTGATTTTCTCTCTCCCTCTTGTGTGGGCTTTGTCTCAGGCCATGTGGTTCTCATTGCAGGGCCTTCTTCACAATTCAACTGCTTTTCTGGGCTCAGGACATAGCTCTAAAGCTTCCTGATGGAGCGTTTACTTAGCACACAGCCATGACTTTAATCTACAACACTGTAAATGAACAAATAAAATGGTTTCCTCCCACCTTACCTTGTCTAGAGACATATTTGCACATTGTAATTACATTTTTTCCCAAGGAACCAAGGGATAAATTATCAGGAAAGATAGATGCAGAGCAGACTTCTGTTGCCATTTGCTTCTGAGAAATGATGATCAAATGAGGTCTCGGATTAAGCTTATACAGTGACTTCCCATGAAAATTTACTTAAAAAATTCACAGGTTATCGGTGGAGGAGGGATTTCTTAAAATCCAGAGGGATTTGTCAAAGAAAGTCTGATCACTTGAATGATGGAGTGTGACAATATTTGAGGGCAGGAGAAAGGAATAAATTAATACACTCGTAGTCTTTTCCTTAGGAATTCCAGGGGCAAAGGACTGCTGAGTCAGCTTACATGTGTACACACATATATGTATGTGTGTGTGTGTGTGTGTGTGCATGTGTGTCATGTGTATTTGTGCATGTATGTGTATATGAGTATGTCTGTGTGTATGTGTGTACATGTATGCATGTATTATCCTGCAGCAAAAGAGCCTGACCATCTTGAGAAGAGGTGACAATATTTCAGATCTGATGTCCTGAAAGTGAGAAAAGACTTGCAGTTAACTAAGTCTTTAAGAAACTGGGCATGTTGGGAAGTCTGACACCCAGAGGAAGGGTGGAGCTCCCTCAGGCATCCAACACAGAAGCTCGAAGACATTTCTGTTTAGGGACCAGGATCATAGTAGTTTTGACTTCTCTTTCCCAATCACAGGGTACCTATTCCTTTTTCCCTAGGGTCTCCAGTTGATCAGGAGGTGCCAGTCCCTCTTAGAGACGGACTCCATCCCAGAGAGTGCCGATGTAGGATCATCAGTGAGGTCAGCAATATGGAAGATATGAGAGTGGCTTCTCATTGGCTCCGTGTTGGTCCACACCACCTTTCCTTTCCCATTAGCACATGGCATATCGACTCCCAGATAAGCCTCTCAAGGCTCTCCCACACAAGCTCTGCCTCTCAAGTTCAGTGGCAGAGGCATAAACCCAAAGAACATTCAAGGTCTCCGGCCAATTTAGTGTGCAGGCACATCTGGCTGGGAACTGGCTGCTGGGCCCCATGGTGAAGTCTTCAAGGTCAACATGGAGCTGTCTGTACCACTTCTGAGAATGACTTCTGAGAATGAACTGAGGGAACAATGCTAATAAAATTACCTCCATGATGGGTTCTGGCTCCTACTCTCCTGTATGTTGGTGATGTTGACATTGCCAGCAATGACTCCTAATATATTTGTATTAATTTGAGCATTATTGGGTGACCACTCCTTTCTTTGGAAATTGGACTGAAAATGATGCAAAGGACTTATAATTGGGCCTTTAAAATTTTTCTACCATTTGAAAATGATGCAAAGGACTTATAATTGGGCCTTTAAAATTTTTCTACCATTATTTTATGTAATAAAAAACAGTATTAGTTTAGTGCTTATTAAGTAAGTGGAATATTTTGACTGGGGAAATAGAAAACTTTAAATTCTAATTATGACGCTCTTTACTTAATCGTATGTTGTTTTTTCCTATTCCAGAGTTATCAATATTTATACATATTAGCAACATTCATATTTGTTGACCATCCTATGCATTCAATGTACTTTGTAAATTACTGTGGTGGGGACCAGAGAGATGGTACAGTTGTTAAGAGCACAAACAACTCTCTTACAGTACCCAAGTTTGGTTTTCCACACCCACATCTAGCAGCTTATTGTTGCCTGTGACTCTAGTTTGGGGGATACCCTTTTCTGGCCTTTATGGGGACTTGTTCTCACATGTGTACACACACACACACACACACACACACACACACACACACACACTTAAAACACAAAGATACTAATGAGTTGGTGTAAGACAATCAATTTAAAGCATTGAAATAAAGGCATGGGTCACATGTCCAGTGTTTCAACAGTGGAGCAAATGATCACAGTGCACAGGAGTTTGAGATCACCCATTGTCACAGAGACCACAAAAGGTCACTGAAGGACAGAGCCTTGTTTAGAACTAGACAACAAGTATGGCTTCCACAGCTGGACTAATAATGAAGGTGCTTCAGAGAATCATTTAGCTGTAGCTTTTGTATCATGTTTTCAGTCTTGTGTGTGTGTATTTGTGTTTGTGTGTGGGCACATGCATGCCATGGCACATGTGTGGCAGTAAGAAGACAAACTCAGCATTTGGCTGTCACCTTCTGCCTTGTTTGCCACTGTGTACACCAGACTCGCTTGTCCATGAGATTCTCAGGATTCTCCGATCTCATTTCCATCTTGCCATAGGAGTCCTTGGATTCCAGATGTCCATCATCACATCTGGATTTACATGCATTCTGGGGATCTGAACTCAGGTCCTCGGGCTTTCAAAGCAAGCATTTTACCCACTGAGCCACCTCCTCAGCCTAGTTGGACTGGCTGTAAGACAAAAGTAAAGCAGGTGTGGGCAGCCAGGCTTAGTGGAATTTAAGGCTGCAATGGAGGAGGGCTGTCCATGGTGTATGCTAACTTAAATATAACAGATGCTTTTCCTCAATACCCCTTATATGCAAAGCACCAGCATTTACACATGTTATTCACATTGCTCTCCCAACTGTCCAATGAAGCAGTTAACAGGCATTTGCAGATTCTAGTCCTGTGATTTCCCCTGACTGTGGAGTGAAGAGATTTCATACTACTATATCAAACAGGTGCGGGTGTCTTTCCTTGTCATCACTCTCTAAACAATATAACAGCTATTTACTTATTATTTACATTGTCCTTATCATTACATTACATTGTCTTGTAAATAATCTGTAGTTATAAGTAAGCCAGAGATGACCTAAAGTATTGGGGAGGCTGTAAGTTACGTGCTAATTGTCCATTTTAAAGGATGTACTTTAGCATCTTTAGATGGTGATGTTTGGGCAGGGACCTGGAACCAGTCTCCTAGAATTTACTCCTAATGTCCATCAAGCTAGCCATGGGTTCAACATCTGGCTATTTCTTCTGAGTAAGACTAATTTTCTAGCCTTTGCAAGGTTAACATTCCTCATATATGAAATGGAATTCAAAGAATAGTTTCCCTGTGAGATTGTATGATCATTACACTAGTTAGTAGATATAAAGCCATGCAAGGGAAAAGGCAAATGATACTAGTTATATGAAATCTCAGGTTTTGCTGATCAAATATTGATTGATGTTAGTGGCTCAACCTAACTGGCATTAAATGCTATTGGGTATGCAAATGGATGTCAGTGAAGGTTTTTGCCTTACTAATTTCATCATATCATGTGTTTCTCATGCACATACTTCAACCTATTAGTTACACCTTCATTGGCTGCCTCAAATGGAATGTGCTCCTGTTTCTCAGACCTATCTGTATAGCCTGAAACTAGATTCCACAGTAATGCTGGCTAACTGAATATTTCAGAGTCCTAAGCTAATAAAATATATTTTTGGAAGATTTTTTGGGGGAGGGCAGTTGATGTTAAGTAAAAAAATTAGCAAAGTTTCTAGTGAACAAATAGCTATGTGCACAGTAGAGTTTATAAGAATATTTTAGATAATTAACTAATTTGTGAATTATTTTATTTTATTGAGCACATCCTATGTACAACAAGACATGGCATGAAGTACAAAAAGCAGACTCTATGATTAATAACCATAGTATGATATCTAGGATTTAATTTTAATTAATATGTAACTGACAATGAAATATTTGGATTACCTAAAACAAGGAATAATTCCTGGGACAAAGTTTATGGTCTGGCATTATGCAAAAATAGCTGAAATAGATTTGGCCTTAGAAACTGTATGTTAGTAATGTAGGGCTATGTAACAATCTTAGCCACACAGCACAGCAAACATTCACCTCACAAAGTTTCTGAAGATCAGGAATCCAGGACTGATTCTAATGGATTTTCTGGCTCAGGGTCTCTCAGAAGTTGCATTCAAGATTTATTAGGTTGAGTACTGGCTTTTGAAGGCTTGTCTGAGGCCTACAAATCCATTTCTGAGACCAACGTCAAGCACCAAGCGCCAAGTTGCCGTCAGGAGGAAGAGTCGACTGGCTTCTGTTAGAAAGGCTCAGTACTGGATTTAACAGGCTTTCCCCATGGCCACCCAGCCCATCATAGACATAAGGAAGTGACCCAGAGTGGCTTTCAAGGAGCCTCAGCAACTCGGTGATCAAATCTCAGAGGTCACATGCTTCCCCTCTGCTTTGCTCTATTCCTTGGAATTTCTAGATGCAGAAAGAGTGGATGTTTAAAGTTCTTGTCTTGGAGGCATGGCAATAAGCATTCGATGTGATTAACTTTCTTAAGTTAATCACATCCTAGCCTACAACATCACACCAACTGCTATACGTTTATAATTGTTTTTCCATTAAAAATAAAAAGCAACCATTTCGTCCAGCCAACTTGTAGAAAGATTAAAGAGGACAGATTGTGTTTTAAACCACATAAAGGTAAAGTCAATGTCTTATTTGAGTAATTAATTAAAAATGTTTTGCATCTAGTAGGAATCTATTCCTGCATGTACTTCCGACTCTTTGTGGGTAACTTTCATGTGACACATTTTCTCTTTCTTGATTGATTGTTTAATAAACACAAAAATTAGAAATAGATGAACTACAGTTCTATAATCTATTCATAACTTATTTTTGGTTTGTGAGTGGATATACAGCATGCAAACACATAAGTAAATACCAACCCATAAACCTAATGGATGGGTATTTTACAATATACCCTTATATTCATAAGGAGACTTTAGCCTTATTATTAAAATATAATTTTAATGACTATAACAGTCTGAGCAACTGTTTCTTGCCTTTTCCCTGTTTTTGAACATTTAGACTTTTTTCTTCCTTTGGTTAGTATAAACAACTTTGAAAAATGCTTTTGTATCTCTGATGCCCACGTAATATCCTTCAAGTAGAATTATAAGGTAAATTTTACAACTAACTTGTGTTCAAAAAGCCATTTGCTGCAGCACACATTATCACTATCAGTTGAACAGTTTAATCTTTGCTAATAGGGATTTTGTTGCGCTGATATGCTAGTTTTTATTTTCACAGCCCTGTGTGTGAGGAGGGTAGGCCCCTGTAAATCTTCCTTCCCAGTTTGTACAGTATCACCTAGGGCCAGCAGAGGGCGCTAGAAAAACATTGCAGTCTTATGCTGCCTGGCTCCTGGAGACTGGATTTTTCCTTCAACCCTCTGCATTCAAGGATTTCTTCAATGCTAGCAGCCAGTGAGGTACAGCTTTCTCTGTCTATTTACCTGGCCTGCTTCTCCAGCTTTTGACTCAGGCAGTGGTGATATAACCTTGAACCAAATGTAGGCTGGATCCTTAGGCAAAATCATTGTGTCTACATTTTCTCCTCACTTCCACAAATATTCAAGACAGAGATGTGTGGGGCTCTTTTGCCAGGTACCCATTAGAGTGCTCATCCTGTTTTTATTGTTACTGTCCTATCATAACTTTGCCTATGTTACAGCATAGTTTCTCTCTACTGACCTGAATTGATGAACACAGAAACAATACTTTGCATACACTTAGTAGTTACTTGCAATTTCTCTTCTGTGAGTTTTCATACCATCTTTCTTATTTATGCATGGCTTGCTCAGTTTTGTATGCACTTTGTAGAACACACACACACACACACACACACACACACACACACACACAGTTTTGAGAGAAGGCCTTATTCTGGGGTACAGGTTGGACTGAATTTCATTACTTAGTCCATGGCTTGAATTTGTAGTAATCCTCTTGCCTTGGCTGCTGAGTAGTAGGATTCCAAGGATATGCTAAGATACCTGGATGAGTTACAATATACTTTGATCTTTTGGTCCACTTTTTAGTGAGATGAAATTGTGCCTTTCTTGATTGATAGGCAAAGCTTTAGAAATACATGACTTTGTTTCAATCAATGAGGGAGACTTCCTGGGACAGAAATGCCACAGTGTTCTTACACTGTCACCCTGTTCAGTTCTGGGGATGCTGAGAATGAATAGCTTACTATTATAACTGTTTCACAATTTAATGCTGATGATACAACCTTACCTTAGTATAGGTAACATGATTGAACAGTTTAAGATAAAGAATTTAAATGGAAGTAGTTTGGGGATAGAATATTGATTAAAACTCACGTTAATAAAGAGTTTAAAAATAAAACCCCATATTTTTTCCAAGTGGGATTAGCAGATCCATGAGTACCTCGGCCGTGTCTTACACAGCAGCAAACGTGCTGTCAGGCCTCTCCTGGCTTAGGTACAGCAGCTGGGCTTTATCTATAGCAATCACCAGCAACAACTAGGTATTTGCGGCCAACTCTTGTTCTACCTAATCTGTGATATATTTGTTTGCAAAGATAAAGAAAGAAAATGAATACAAACAACTTTTAAGACACTTAAAATCAGCTTGGAAGTCATCAGTAGAAGTGTGTGTCAGTGGTGGGAGGTGATGCACAGATGAAGGGCCCAGGTTGAGAAAATCAGAGTTTAGGTTTACGTTTTTAAATTTTATTTATTTCTACATGTATGGATGTTTCAACATGTGTGTGCAGTGCCCACAGAGGTGAGTGTCAGATCCTCTAGGACTGGAGTTGTAGATGGCTGTGAGCCACCGAAGGGGTGTTGGGGAATTGAACCCAGGTCATCTGGAAGAGTAGTCAGTGCTCCTACCCGCTTAACCATCTGCCCCTCCCACCCACTTAGCCATCTCTGCAGCCCTGAGTTTCAGTTTCATTACAGAGTCCAAAATCATTTTATTCCCAAAGGACAGAGAGCTTTGCTACTACAGGGTTAAAAATTATCACCCCCTGTAGAGTGATTTCTAGGTTTTATGAAAACACTCCAGTGTTGACACGGCTGAGAAACATGGCCAATACAGGTCCTTAATGGCTTGAGAATGTGCGTCTCCTTGACATCAAGAACTGGAAGTGTTTATTTCCAATCATTCATGAGTCAGTAAATGTCTCAGTTCTTTTAAGGGTGCAAGATAAAACAAGTTTAAACCACGTGACATCAGCAGAGGCCACTTAACTCTGAGTTCACTAAAGAATTTGCTATAAATGATATTTGGAATACACAGTATCCAGGCTTCCTTCAGTTACTGAAGCGAAGTCCAATCTTGCCTTCCTCCAACTCTGAACCGCAGCCAACCTCATCATTTCAAAGAGGAAGCAGGCTCTTTGGCATTCTGTTTTCCACAGCTTCAAGGTCATGCATACCAGAATGCAGAGGCAGACTGTCTATTCAATCACCCGGAAGTGCCTTCCAGCTCTGTTGAGATGTGCTGGCTAGCGTAGGTGCTGTGGATCTAGACTGTGGTCTCTGTTTTTGCTGCCTGTTTACTCTGAAGACACTTCAGGATAAAGGCCCTTTCGGTATTGAATCTGCAAAGGACAGGGAGAACATGAAAAACCAGGTGCAGGGTGAGCACTGAACCTACGGAAGGTGCACGCTCTTGACTTACTTCGCCATTATTCTTTCAGTCTCTCTTTTCTCTTCTTCATCTAATCTTTGAAGAATGGATTCCAAGAAGGAAAACTGAAAATTAATGTACTGCGCCACCTGAGAAGGGAAAGACAAGGCTGTATGAAAGAAATTCTGAGTCAGAGGGAGACTTGAGGGCATGTGGAGGCTCTTGGCATCCATACATCACTGCTAATTTCTTCTGTATCTTTATCCATGAGGAAGATCCGAGCATTACTGTTGGATGGTCCTTGTAGAAGCCTCTGCAGCAGTGGGATGTCAGTCTTCTTTAGCTTTCTCTGCTCTGAAAATGAAAAGGAATGAACCATAGTAACAGTTAACTCTAGAAAGAGAAAGGGGATAATTTTGTCTTTTGGTCTTCCTTTGTTTGTTTTGGAAGCAATAGGAATTGAGAACTCACTCAAAAAACAAACAACTAAACAAAAACCAACCAAACAACCGAACAAACAAACAAACAGAAAAACAGGGGAGTCATGCCCCATTATCCATGGTCGATATGCTACCGGACCTCAAGGGACACATGTGACACTGTAGATGGTATATAATTCCATATGTCTGTTTTTCCTATACATATACATTTTATACATATCTATGATAAAGCTTGATTTATAAATTAGCCATAGTAAGAAGGTAACATCACGAGTAACAAGTAGAGCAACCACAGTATATTCTAATAAAGCTGTCAGCAGTACTGCCTTTGTAGTTCCAGGTCATTCCCAAAAGGAAAGACAAAAGCATGATTTGAAGACTAACAGCATGGTGCCTCAACAGTTGATCTATAACTAAACTGACACTAAGTGACAAATGGGGAGGTTGTATCTACAGTGTGTATACAATGGACACGTGGATGGTTTATCCCAGGGAGGGGGAGTGAAGGAGAGCACATTTATCACTATTCTGATGATAGACTACTTAGAGCTTATCAATTGCTGTTCCTGGAAAAGTCCATTCAGTATTCTTGGACTATGTTTGCACCTGTCTGACTGTAACCCTACAAAGTGAAATTGTAGACATGGTTAGAATATTAATTAAAATTAAATATGAAAACCTTTCCAAAAACTACAAGTGAAATTCTTACACTCCATATATGGTCTAACTTAGTAACTCAAATAATTCTACCTTTTAGTTAGATCATTTAGCCAAAGCTCTAGTCCTACCAAAGGAGCGACATGGCTCAGTTCTTTCAAATTTTTCCTTTCTTTCCTTCCTTCATCTACTCAACAGATATTTACCACCAAGTTTGCTTAATATGAATCCATTTTTATAGCCATTCTTTTTTTTAAAGATTTCATTTATTTATTACATATACAACATCTGCTTCCATGTATATCTGCACACCAGAAGAGGGCAATGGATCTCATAATGGATGGTTGTGAGCCATGTGGTTGCTGGGAATTGAACTCAGGATACTCTGGAAGAGCAGTCGGTGCTCTTAACCTCTGAGCCATCTCTCCAGCCCACATATAGGTGTTCTTAATTCTTCCTTTTGTTTCTACCTCACATTCAATTCTTGGGCCTTCCAAGAACTAAATTACAAATGCACAATTAGTAACAATAGTCCTTTTCCTTGTTTATGAGTTTTATCCACTCAGCCATGAAAATGAGACAAAAAATATTGGTATATTCTCAGAATTTCAAATTTAAAAGATTACGATAAATGCCCTTCCCCAAAAGTACTGGCATTCTGTCACAGTAGGCTCCCATCTGGGATTTTATTTTAATAAAAGGAAGCACGCAGAAAAGCCCCTGATGTCTTTTAGTTCATCTTCTTTTCCCAGCTCCCCATTTCTCACTTTCTTCCTCAGAATGGTCAAATCTGTTTCTCATCTCTGGATTCAATTTATTCCCATGTCCATTCCAATTCAGTGTGTGCTGATTTCACTGTCACTTCTGAGCAACAGGAAGCCCTCATGATTTTGCTCCTTTCCTTGGCACAGCAGAGTCCTCTCTTGACCTTTGTCTAATGCCAACTTGGTTTCACACCCTCAGTTGCTTCCATATTTTACATTTCCAAGCAAGCTTCTTGCTTCACGACCATTTGGAACAATTACTGACAGTATATATTCCCCCCCGCAGAGTTCTCTACTGAGGGAGAGCTCATTTTCTTACCATGTGTCAGACCCAGTGTCAAATAACAAAGAGCAAACTAAGGACATCAGCCAGAAGTGGCATGCAGTGAGGACCAAAGAGCTAAGGCAGGGAGGGGAGTGGAGACAGAAACAAGCATAGAGGTGAGAGACAAGGAGCACAGCACCTCCTGGAGAGCCATGCAAGGAGGGATTCCTGAAGCTCTGATCTCCACTCAGACAAAGTCTGGCAAGCAAGCAAAGTCCTTTGACTTTATAAACTCTTTGAAGTCTTAGCTCATCTTTCTCTGGAATTGGAGAAGACACACAATGTCCTAGCACCATTTCTCCAGGATGGGAGTGTAGTTCAGTGTTTAGCTTGCACCAAAACTGTGTAAATAACAACAATTATAATGAACCCTTTTCTGTCTTCCTGTCTCTCCTTTCTTCTGTGTTCTGTGTTCCCTCCCCACCTTTTGATAGAACCAAGCACTCTTCTGTCTTCTTTATGAAATGAAAACTAACATGCTGGAGCCAGGTACAAAGAGAGACCAGATTTTCTTACCTCCTGTTCCAAAAATAATGTAAAGAGCAAAATCCTGTGGGCTATTCTCAATCTGTCAATGGAAAAAAATGAAAAAATGTGATTGTTCCAGATGATGTTAGACCCAAAGTAGCCACTTGCCCCTTCACTTTCAGACATGTCTCTTGGGGGATAATGTGAATTTCCAGGCTTTTGTTGCACAGAGGAAAAGATCCACCAGAACTGAACATACAATGTTGGTTCACAGTCCATGGCTCTTTTTTTTTTTTTTTTTTTTTTTTTTTTTTAAGGGGGGTTTTTTTTTTTTTTTTTTTTTTTTTTTTTTCAGAGAGTGCTTTTATGTGTCTCCATTAGCTTACTCACATGCATAGTATAGCTCAGGTTACTCATAAAGATTACCTTAAATTTTTGGAGAAGTTGCTTTATTACTTCTTCAGTTCTCATGTTACTATTTGTTCTGACCTTAGTTTCTGATCCAAAGGTTGGAGTGAAAATAGATGTCTAAAAGAACAACAACAAAATCATGTCAGTCCTTAGGGCTCTATCAAACAACAGTGGTGGGTATCCTGAGCTTGTATGTCAGTACAAGACCTAAAGGGCTGGATGGAAAAGGTGATGCTTGATCGAGTGAAATAAACAGCCTGAATGCCTTTAAACCAAACTCTGTGGGAGCCTTATTTATGTGATTTGGATGCTGTTTGTTGGCGTGTTGGTTTCCCTGTTTAAGCTTTGTACTTGCACCTCAAGGAGCTTGTCTATGTATTTCAAATGGTCACTTCAGCACCCAGCACCTAGATGGGGACTCATCCATCACACTGGTTAATAATTTGTGTTTTGGAGGGAGACAACTTTGTGTTCAAGTTCAGAGTTCTTGTTAAAAGCAGTGTGACTCAAGAAATTGTTTATTTCTGTAAAGTTTGATTATATGTAAAAAAGAAAAAATAATGATACTGGCCTTCATATGAGAGCTTTTAGAATAAATGAGATAATTTATTTAAAATGTGTTCCAAATTAGGTGTATATGTCTATAATCTTAACACTTGGGAGGCTCAGATAGGAGGAGTTTAAGTTTGAGGCCAGCTTGGGCTCTATAGCAAGCTGGGACTACTTAATTTAATTTTTTGGTTTTTCGAGACAGGGTTTCTCTGTGTAGATTTGGAGCCTATCCTGGCACTCACTCTGGAGACCAGGCTGGTCTCGAACTCAAAGAGATCCACCTGCCTCTGCCTCCTGAGTGCTGGGATTAAAGGCGTGTGCCACAAATGCCTGGTGCCTTAATTTACCTTTTATTTAAAATTTTTCATACAATATATTTTGATCATGTTTCCCCTCTTCCAATTCATCCCAGATTGCCTCACCTTCCTAGCCACCCAACTTCATGTTCTGTTCCTTTCTCATTCTCTCTCAAATAACAGAAAAAAAAAAAAAGCAAAAGTCAAAACAAATAAACCAAAAAAAGACCCAATAAGACAAAAAATGTCCAAACAAAATAAAATGAAGCTAAAATCCCCCTTCCCCAACAGGGGTCTTGAGAGATGGCTCAGCAGTTAAGAACATTGGCTGCTCTTCCAGAGGAACCAGGTTCAATTCCAAGCACCGGCATTGTAGCTTACAACTGTCTGTAACTCCAGTTACAGGGGATCTTGCACCTTCATACACACTATACAGACAGACATGTAGGCAAAATACTAATGCACATTTTAAAAATATGGAGTTCATTTTGTGTTGGCCAACTACTCCCTGGGCATGGGGCCTGTCTTGGAATATGTTGATATACAGGGTGACACTCCATTGGAGAATATGGGGTTTCCTTTTGCCAGAAGGTATCAATTGCAAATAGCTTCCTGTGTAGGCATGGGACCCTGTGTACTTCCTCCACTGTCGGTACAGGGACCCCAGCTGACTTGAACTGTGCATACTATGTAATTTAAATCTGTGCTTCAAAACATCTAAACCAAGAAAGAAGTGAACAAGATTGTATTTAAACTTAGTTAATGAGTTACTATAGGGAAAGAATGGTGAGTGTTAGGCATCCACTAACATTGTTATTATTATTGGTTTAAATTCTAAGTTGAAATAAATAGTATTATCAGTGCAATGGACAACATCATTCCGCATTAAAGTCACTGTAACTTACCTCATGGTTGTAGAAGTGTCCGTTGATAGAGGCTCTATGGTCCTGCCTGTCTTTTCTGTACGTCACTGGAGCCTTCATTCTTTTTCTTACCAAAGCTGCCTCACTCATGGTCCTATAGAGCAGTGGGGATGATGGCTCCTCATCTGCATATGGCTTCAGAGTGCTGTGATAAGATAAATAGTCTGGGAAGAATAAAGACCACAAGCCCATATCATTTAGCTGCCTATCTTCTTGCATTGTAGGGATACTGGTATGCTTTTACTAACAAGGCTGACTGCTATTTCCTGGCTATTTCATAGCACTATAGTTCACTGATTGGCTTATACTGACTTGTTAGGTGCTGTGTGAGATTGGTCAGGCTGAAGATGTTGCAAGTGAGTTATGTCTCATAGGACTTATGTAGTCACATGATTGGTGTCTCTACTCTTTTAATCTCACTTTATTAGGGGTGTAAATTATACACAATTTTAGTATGGATGAACTGGAAAAACGTGTTTTTCTTTCAGTCTGTACTCAGATAGGTAAGATTAAAGGCATAGTGAGTTGGGTAGCTTTTGTATGAATATAGTATTTCCAGGGGATGGACCAGGCCTGCATCTCTGTTTTGTCCCGATGCCAAGCTATCAGGCCTTTCCTAAGAAGACATATCTTGGGCCTTAGCTCTCCTCTGAAACTACTGAAGCATTCTTGAGAAGTTGGAGACTTAAGAGGATTTGTTCCTACATTTCATGAAAGCAAAGCAGCAATATGCTTTGGGCTACTGGCTACCAGTAATGAACCACACAAGCAATGCAGTGATGTAAGGTACAGGGCCCTTGGAGATGTTTGAGAAACACACATATATATATGACTTCATCAAGCAGTATTATATAAGAGGCAAACATTTAGGACTCGTGTTTTAGTAACAAAACAAAGCAAAAAAAACCACCAAGTTGACAATGGCACTCTCATACTGACCTTCTGAGGAATGCCTTCCTTCAGACAGCAAAACTTGGCTCCTGTCCAGCTCACTGATACGATAAAGGTCATCAAACTCTCCCCATCGAGTCATCCCCCTGAAAAGTAACAAATTCTGTCACCAAGACTAATTCCATGTGATGAGTCTCAGATTTACAATGTTGAAACTGTAGTTGTGGGCCTCTGTAGGTAGATGTGTTATCCAAATTTAAAACAAATTTACCATGTTACAAGGATTACATTCATACTACAGTGGTAAGCATATTTTAAACACACTCTGGATATTTTAGAGCAAAATAATTCATTGATATACTGAAATGCAAAATTAGATAGATTCTGTAAAATGTATGCTCAGAATGAATTGGTAGAAACCAATGTGAGTCACTGATTCACAAATATCTTCTAAGGTTTTAGGGGAGTTTAGATACAAAATTGTCATTTACACTCATGGATAAGTATTCACAGTATTAAAATAATTATAGAAAGTGACTCTAACATGATAAGATATGGTATTTACATTTAAGGCCTGAACTGCTTTGAAAAATACAATTTATAAAAAAGACATACATGAAAAAATTCTTCACTAGAAAATTATTATCTCATGTAGAATACTAGCAAGTTTCAAAACATTCTAGTGCCCAGAATACACAAAACATGACAACTGTTTATTTTACAGCAGACTAACAACTGTTTATTTTGATTTTATTTATCTGGCCTTAAACAAGTTAGTTACATATCCTTTCTTGGCCTCAGTGTCCTCATTCATAAAATGAGAATAATCATAGTATGAGGTAGGATAGAATTGGTGGTAGGATTTAATGTGTTAATTTATGTAATAATCTTGAAATAATATCCTAAATATAGTTAAACAATCAATATATATCTAAAATATTATCAGAATAATTTCATCTTCAATGGCTTCATCACCACCGCAATCATTACCATCACCACCACCACCATCATCACCAACACCATCACCACACTACCACCATCATCATCATCAACATCACCACTATCATAATCATCACCATCATCACTATTACCACCACCACCATCATCACCATCTCACCATCATTACCATTATCACCACAATCATCACCATCATGACCATCATCACTACCACCATCATCACCATCACCACCACCGCCACCACCATCATCATCATCACCACCACCGCCACCACCATCATCATCATCACCACCACCACCACCACCACCACCACCATCTTCATTATAATCACCACCATCTGAATCCATTTCATGATGGGTCAGGCACAATTTGGGGTCTAGTGCATTTCAGGACCTCTTTAGGCAAATGGACACTCTTATTTGTGGAAGTGTTTTGTGTCCTACTTTGACTCTCTTCCATAAAATCCTTTATAGTATGAACCCCAAGTATTTATACCTGGGGTGTCTGTGACCTTAATTCTACTCAAATGTCCCTGACTGATAGTTTGAATTATCATGTCACCAAAGGTTCATGTATTTGAAGACTTAGTCCTCTATTGGTTTGAGGAAGTGACAGCACTTTTAGGAAGTTGAGTCTCACTGGGGAAAGCATACCATTGAGTGAGCTTTGAGGATTGTAGCCTTATGCTGTTCTCTCTCTCTCTCTCTCTCTCTCTCTCTCTCTCTCTCTCTCTCTCTTCTCTGCTACCTGTGTGTGTATGACAATGTGATCAGCCAGCTCCCTGTTCCTGTAGTCATGCTATGCCTTCCACACCATGATGGACTCTATCCCTCCAGAATCAAAAGCCCAAATAAACATTTCCTTCCTTAAGTTGCTTTTGGTTGTGACTTGTCATCATAAGAACAGAAAAATAATCAACATACTGATGAAAACCATCTTATAAACACTAATGGAAGGCACTGTCAAAGCAATGCTATTGTTTCCCTCTTGATCTTGAAGTCCTCTTGAAGTCTTTTATTTGATTAACAACACCCATAAGAAGCCAGACGTGGTGGCGCTCACCTTTAATCCCAGCGCTTGGGAGGCAGAGACAGGTGGATGACTGTGAGTTCAAGGCCAGCCTAGTCTACAGAGTGTAGAGAAACCCTGTCTTGAAAAACCAAGAACACCCACCATAAGAAGTAGATAATATGACCATAATATATTTGTTAATACAATTTTGAGTAAACTCTACTATGTGGAAATATTGTCAGTTGAAATGCATGTCATGAAATAGAGGAACTATTTGTATTATCAGTTCAGGTCTCTACTCACACCCTATTAATATGGCACATAAAATTAAAATTTTCTCCAACGTATAGCATGTTAGCAATGTAAAGTAGTGTGTCTAATCACTATTGAAAGAGGGGTGGCAACGGGACCTGGATACCAATGAGAAGTTAAAACTAAAAGGCAAAGCAACTAGGTGCTATTTCCAACAGGGGGAACAGAAGTTCTACAAATACTGACCACTTATGATTCCCACAGCTGGTCAGTGACTCTGGCAAATGTGACAGCCACCCCTTCAGTTTCCTTAGCTTCTTGTGGTATAGTGGTGCCACATAAACACAGGGGCTGATAAAACAGCTCAATATATTCATTTTGCCTCTTTCCTTCATGCTAATCATTGCTGAAGTAAAAAATAACTACTTCATAGCTTGGGATTGTGTAATTCAAGAACTATTCTATATACTGTAGATATGACTAAGCTTAAGGGCAGTTGTCCATACTTTTCAAGCAAGAACTGGTTAGAACTTTAACATCAAACAGTTGAACATGTCCAAACATGGAATAGTTTGTGTAGCTCTGACCAAACACCAGGGAGTTTAACAGGGACCATTCTAAACACTAGAAAGGGGTTGTGATGTTTGAAAAAATAAAATGGAGGTAGAAATTTGATAAATAAATAAAATGCAGTCACTTCCCTATCTATAACATAAGAAAAAAAACATTATTGATGCAAATCAACTATGCACCTGTTCACTTCCTGTGAACCTGTTCACTTCTTTATTTCATTCTGCCATGGCTTGTTTAAAATATGCCAACACCAACTTTAGAAAGATATTAAAATAGAAATGAAAACCAGCAAAACCAAAGTAACTCCAGTAAGGCACTTCTTGTCTGTTTCATTTTAAACACACAGTTTCTGTAATAAAACATTTGACTGAGATATGAAAGATCAAAGTCCTCCCATAAGAGTTATTTCCATGCACATAAGTGGTCAGAGCTCAAACAAACCAATGTATTTTTAAGCCTCTACCCTTCCCATTTGGCTAGTACTTCCTCAGTGTGACTCATTTCTAACATGATTAAAACAAACTAACATGACAGGAGTAATAATTTTTCTCACAGGATGAATGGACAGGCACTCAGCTGGAGTCCTTGCAGCTGAACACACACTGTCCATGTCCTTCACTGTACACTAACTTATGGGGGACATCAGATCTGAGCAGTGGTGCCAAGTTCTGTCCATAAATATAACAGTATGGGAAAAGGAAAATGAGAGAAGGTTTGGAATAAGGGGGCGATCAAATTCTTTACACAATTTAGTTGGGGCACAGAGTTTAAATTTAGAGTCACCTGGAAGGGGGTAATAAAGGGAGGGTACCCGAGAAGAACTACAGCCAGGGAACAGTGCCGAGGGTGTCTGTGCACCATCAAGACAGAGGCCAGGGAAGGCCATTCCATCCGTATTGTGTCTTCCTGCCTGAATGCTCAGCTGATTGCCCAAGGCCCTCTTAACTAACCAACTGCAACCAAATAATGCTATCATGCTTGTGTGTGTGTGTGTGTGTGTGTGTGAGAGAGAGAGAGAGAGAGAGAGAGAGAGAGAGAGAGAGAGAGAGAGAGAGAGAGACAGAGAGAGAGAGAGACAGAGACAGAGACAGAGACAGAGACAGAGACAGAGATACAGAGACAAAGAGTCTTCATTGTATGCATAAGGGGTGGTGTCTCTTCCTGCTAACTCTTACTCACTAGAAAGATATGGTTCATGGCACAAGCATTCTTACATTGTTCTAGAAAGTCTTGTTATTGTGGTAAAGGACAGGCTAATAACCCCAGTGTTGTAGTCATGTCTAGTCATGGTCACAGGCTTCTGCAGTTGTCTTGTTGTATTTTCTTCATTTTAAATGAGAAATAACTTCTATCTTGCTTCTAGGTTGTTAAGGCTTGAACATGAAATGCACTCCATAGGCTCATGTGGACCCCAACTGGTAGTGTTGTGGAGTCATTGAGCCTGTGACTTAGCTTGCAGGAGTGGCTCACTGGGGGACAGACCTTGAAGACACCTTGATCAGCACTCCCTGCTTCCTGATTTTCTGAGATATGCCTTCCCTCCCATGATAGTCTCTCCATCAGAAACTGTGAGCCCAAATAACCCTCCCCTCCTTTGCACTGCTTCTATCATGTTTAACCATGGTAAGGAGAAGGTTCCTCATCTACCAGCAACGTTCTTGGTGCAAATGGGCTCTTCAGACAATGCAGTGTGAGGATGATAATTTATAGTCTGTGTACAGCATATGAAAGAACATCAATATCACCTTAGCCCCGCCCTGACTCCTAAAACTCACTCACAATTTCAGTATTTCTAATTCAAAACTAGTATTTTGAATTTGAGAAATTAAAACATATCTTTGAATAGCTATTAAAATAATAATAATAGCTTCACATACCAGTATAAGTGCTATTTACCTCCTTGGCCTCATACTTAACAAAGTTTTAATGAATCCAGAGGAATTAAAATATAGCAAAAGGGATTGACTTCCCAGAGAACTCTGTCATGAGTTCTTAAAAAGATCTGAAATACAATTGCTAATTTTGTGAATTCATATCTCATATGGTTTTTTTGTTTGTTTTTTGTTTTGTTTTGCGAAGCTCGATTCTTTTTAAATGCTGCCTGAGGTTGTGGTCCCATTTGTGCTCATGAGCACTATGTCCTGTGCCCACCAGCAGTCCTTATCATGGATGGGAGACTAGTGAGGAATGGCAGATGGGGTGAGGTGGTTGTCACACAAAGCAAGTGAAATTTATTTATAGGTTTCTGGGGACTTCAATTGATCTTATCCCCCCTCACTCATGCTTTCCTTCTCCATCTATCATATTTCTATATCACTCTTTCTCTTTCTTCGCCCATCTCTCTCCCCCTCTCTCACTCCTCTCTCTTTCCTTCCCTTCTTCCTTCCTCTCGGTGCTGGGCCCTGGGTTACAAACACAATTCGAGATGTGCTCCTAGAAACTCTCACTGGAGATGGAAGACAGGATGTGTAAAAGTCCAACAAACTGTGTGGCTTGGAGGTGATAAAGAAAAGTTGTCAGTGCATTCAGTATGGACTTGGGGGGGACTGTGGAAAGCTTTTAGGACAATGTCAACACATTTGTTAGAGGCGAGTCAGATGACTGGCCATTGATAGTCTGACTTCTAGGCAAGTGAGGAAACTAAGAAATTGCATGATGTGTTTACTGTGGAAAGCTTTTAGGAAAATGTCAACACATTTGTTAGAGGCGAGTCTGACTTCTAGGCAAGTGAGGAAACTAAGAAATTGCATGATGTGTTTAGAGCACTACAAAATGTTCAGCCTTGTTCAAGAATGAGGTTTGACAAGCTTTGGAAAGGTAAAAATCATGGTGGGACATGGGTATATTCTCCAGGGTGGTGTCTAACTTTCCTTAAATGTGGCCAAAGATCAGTCCAGTCAAATTCATCACCCTGGTAGCTGGCTCTCCATTTCTCCCCAGTAGAACCCTAACTCTTCCAGGATGGATGGGAGTAGTGAAAAAATTGCAGTGGTCCAGGTGTGTCAGAAGGGAGGTGAGGTGGGAATGAAGATGGAGAAGAAAGGAATGAGTCATTTTATGAGTATAATTTATAGTAACTATTAATTTCCAAGAAAAACTATGAATGTTAATGACAAAATGCCACCAAAGTCAGACATCCAAGCTACAGTTGCATCCACCTATGCAGGGAACTGCTCTGTATAATGAACTTCAAATGCACTTTGCTGTGCTCGGCTAAACAGCTCCACTTACTCTGAGCTTGAGCACAATTCAGTCTTCTCTCCAGAAAAAAAGAGTCCTGTGTTCCAAGGAGTGGACAAATTTAAGTTCTTCCCAGTTTTTGAAGGTCAGGTTGTGACTATTCAAATCTTACCTGTCTGTCTTGTCTCTTCCATTGAGCAAATGCAGTCTTCCAGGAGACACAATGGAAGGGCCCACAAGCCTAGACTCTGCAGCCCGTGGAACAAAGGTCCCTTTGGTGCTGCCAGGTGGTTAACTAGGGATCATGTACAAATTCCCCTAACCTCAGAGACACAGTTTCCAAATTCCCAATTAATGGTGATGGTATGAGATTGTCTATAAGCCTTCATGCCCAGTTATAAGCAACCTGCTCCAGGAGCAAATATAATGAAGGCAGATAGCAAGGCCATCTAAGGGAAATTACAAGGGAGGACAGCTTACCCTTTGCTGGAAAATGTTTCCGTTGACTTCAACAGATCAAAAGAAGAGATTTGCTTCTCATCTTGTATTTTTAGCTGAATGGGTCGTTTTACTCCCCAGAAAATGTCCAGCATCCCTTCAACAATCAGTTGTCCATCTTCAGTCTAAGGAAGAAGCCATTACCCAAAGTAACTATCTTTGCATCATTTATAGAAAGTTAAATGCCTTAACTGAAGATGTAGAAAGTAAGTGTGTAGGAGACAATTTTAGGTTTAAACATCTCCCTGGATGGATTATTTGGCTTCTCAGTCTATCAGCAAAACAATTCTAATTTTGAAATAGCCTTTTATTTTTAAAACAGTATACCTGGCAAAACAAGCCACAGTGTCCTTGGCATGTCCACCAAGGGTCACAGTGCATTAAATGCTTTTTGAGCTCCTGGCTCTTGGATTAAGTGGCATTATATTGCTTAGCTCCATTTAATTTGAAAGTATGGAGCTAAAAACTATACTGAATTAGGAATCAGGATAAATAGTTACTGAGAGCCTTAGTTATTTGAATAAACAGGAATAATTTAACCCACAAAATTATGTAGAACAAAAGAAAGATTGCTTATTCAGGGATGATGGTGTCACATACCTTTAAAATGGGCAAAGAGGCAGAGGCAGGTACGAGATCTCTGGATACCAGCTAGTGTATAGCTTCAGGCTAGCCAGGGCTATACACTGAGATTCCATATCAGTAAAAGAAAAAAGGATTCATATAAAAACATTGTATATGATACTAAACAGAACAGAGGAAACCTGAGTTCAAATTCCTAGCACCTGTGTAAAAAGCTGGCATGACTGTGTATGTACATAACCCTAGCATCAGGGGCTGGAGACAGTCTGAGCACAAGAGCTCTCTGAATGGCTTAGCCCAAAGCAGCAAGCTTGCAGTTCAGTGAGAGACCCTGGTTCAAAGCAAGGAAGAGAGGAGTCATAGCTAGAGACATCATGCTCTGGCTTCCTCACATGTGAACAAAGGTATGTATGCTTCCACACTGGTGCATGCGACACACAATTAACATATTTGTGAAAAAATAATAGGTTTTTAAGTACTCATTCAAAATAGAAACACACAATTAAGAACATATTTGTGAAAAAATAATAGGTTTTTAAGTACTCATTCAAAATAGAAATAGTATAACAAAAGGAGTAAATGTGTAAGTGAAGAAAAATTAGGAAACAAGGATATATATGTATTTTGTGAATATATAAAGAAATGTTGAGAACAAATGAATTCTCATACAATTAATTAATTAATCAAACCTACCTCCTTTTTTACACTTTAAATATCTTTTTATCAAAGTAATATATTGTTGGGGAAACTTTGAGATTATAGAGACTAGAAAGTTATATTATAAAATCATTGGTTATTATGAAAATCAATTTTTAGGCAATTGAAATGACTGAACTATTTCTGTAACATTTTAAAACTGGTAACAGTATGAGATAGCATATATCCACTGGAACTCAACTTATTCATTTTAATGAACAAATCAAATTCGAACTTACCTTACAGATGCAACCTTATTTGTTATAATAATACCACACTGGTGGATATAAGGGTACCATCTCATTCTCTTATTGCAAATGGTGTTACAGTGCACACCTCTCCACACACACACACACACACACACACACACACACACACACACACACACAAGTACCATCTCATTCTCTTATTGCAAATGGTGTTACAGTGCACACCTCTACACACACACACACACACACACACACACACACACACACCAGTATTCCAGAGATGTTTTAGGATGGCAATACTCTTCAGGCACCCAACATGGTCTGCTTTCACTATTGGGGAAATATTCCATTTTAAAACAGAAAGCAAATGTGTCCTTAATATTATTTTCTTATATGCTTTCCTGCTTCAAAAATGCTTAGAACTTGCAGGCATTCCAGGCAACCTATTTCGTGAATTAGACTAAACATGAAAATCAGAATGAGTTAGAGATTTACCTGCTTATTTATAGCACACCAATCTCTAGGTTCTAGACTCCAGCTGACTCTGACTCAGCTACAGGCTTACAGAATCTGTTTCCTGGGAATCAAGCTGTTGCAGTTCTTTTGTGGGCTTACCTGTCCATACAAAATATGCAGATTTTTCTGGTTTTCATAGAAAACATTATAAGCCTCCAGTAAAGAATTAAGTTGCTCCCTAAAAAATAAAAATGAACATTTTCCAGTTATAATCAATCTTAAGCCTTGGAATAGTAAAACACAGTAACAATTACTTTTACTTCATAAAAGTATGAGATGAAAAATGTTCAGCAGAATCATTATTATTCTGGCATTTTTAATTTAAGGAACATTGTGGGAATCAGAAGTATTCTTAGAATATTAAAATACTACAAACATGCTAATTCATAAATAAAATGTATGTGGCAGGGGATAACTGAATACATTGGCATGACAGCTTGGTCAAAGGAGGCAGCTATGCAGCAAACTTTCTTTACAGTTTTGCTTTGTGTGGTTTCACAACAGTTAATCACCCAACACTAAGCTCCTACTATGCATCTGACACCATGGTTCTCTTTGATGTGACAACAATGGTCAATCAATGGCTTAATTAATGTTTGATGCTCCAGAGGAATCTCACTCAGGGGACAGGTAGACCCTGGGGGAGGGCACTGGTTCCTGCCAAGTGTCTGCCTTCCCTCTGACTCATCACATCTGGAGAGGCTTGACACCTCACCTAGATTACAGAAATGGCCTCCTACAAGGCCTCCTGTATCTGTTGTGTATTCTTGGTAACAGGAATTATTGTAAAGTGAACTTGACCATCTTTCTCCTTTGCTCAAAACTCCTTAATGTCTTCTCAGAATGGGATTCAACATCCCATTGTCATGGCGACTTGAGAGACTAGGTTTGATCCAGTCTTCTGTCAGCTCATCTATCTCATTCCTCATTACTCTTTCCTTCGCTTACTACACTTGGCTTTCTTGATGTCTCTTGAACACTACAGGTCTTGAGACTTTGAACTTGCTGACTGCTCAACTGGAATGACCTCCTCCTCTATCATCACACTGCTAGCCCAATCATTCATTTTCATCAAACATTTAATCAAGCCCACCCATGAGGGCTGGAGAGACGGGTCAGAGTTAAGAGCACTGGCTGCTCTTCCAGAGGACCTGGTTTTTTCTCAGCACACACATGTTGGCTCACAACTGTTCATCACACCAAATCCACAGGCCTCTTCTGGGGTCTCCACAGATAATTCATGCACACAGTGCACAGACATACATACAAGCAAAACACCCATACACATAAAATAAAATAAAATCCCCACCACCAATTTTTTTTAAAGCCACCTATGTAAGGAGTTTTTCTTCACCACCCATTGTAAATCTTTACCTCCCCCAACATTTCATATCTCAGTTTCTTCCTTAACTTTTCCCTCTAATGCTCTATAAATTTGACTTCCTGACTTACTCCCACTCTCTCTCCCTCCATTCTGTCCTTTCTTTTGGTTGTTTTTTTTTTTTCTTTTTTTTTTTTTTGAGACAAGGTCTCACTATGTAGCCTTGGATGGTCTACAAACACTTCTTTGTTTTTGAGACAAGGTCTCACTATGTAGCCTTGGATGGTCTACAAACACTTTGTAGACCAGAAGCTACCTACTTCTGCCTCTAGAATACTGGGATTAATGGAATGAGCCATAATGTCCTGCTATAAATTTGACTCTTCGATTTTGTAGTCTGTCTTTCCCACCAGAATGAACCTCCTTGAAGAAGGGGATGTTTAGAAGTTCAGATTTTATGTGTCCCTGTGTGTTTGTCAGTTTCTATTTCTGTGACAAAGCACCATGAATAAATAGCAAGTTGGGGAGTAAAGGGTTTATTTGGCTTATACTTCAACATTGCTGTTCATCTCTGGAAGGAAGTCAGGACAAGAACTCAAGCACAGCAGGATCCTGGAGGCAGGAGCTGATGCAGAAGGCATGGAGGGGTACTGCTTAGTTCCTATAGCTTGCTCAGCCTGCTTTCTTATAGAATCCAAGATCACCAGCCCAGGGATGGCCCCGCCCACTATAGGCTGGGCCCTCCTCATCAATCACCAATTGAGAAAATCCTTACAGCTGGATCTCATGGAGGTCTTTCCACAACTGAGGCCCCTTTCTCTCTGATGACTCTAGCTTGTGTCAAGTTGACACACAAAACCAGACAGTGCACACTGGTAGTATTGGTACACAGTAAGCACTCAATTTTAGTTCAGTAAAATTATCAGAATATTCTCTTCCTAAGAAAACCAATAACAAGATAAAGGAGTAAACAGTGTTTAAAATAAACCTATTTATTAAAAAAATATTCTAGAACATTTAATTCCAAGTATTTCAGATCCTCAGATACCTCTGCCATTCATGTAAGAGTACAGGTTCTGTGAGAGCAGTCAGTTTGGTTTCACTCACTGAATTTTCCTGATGGTTGGAACACTTGTTCATCCTAAGCTGTTATTCAGCAAACACTCACTGAATACTGAACAACAGGCTTTATGCACATTGTTTTTACATGTTGGAGTCATATTTCCTCACTTGCATTTTTCAACATCCACATTTCCAGGAGTCCATACATTCCATACAGTGATCACAGGAAGAAATCCCAGTGAAAGCCTACAGGCTAATGTTCCATTTCCCAAATGCCTTATTCAAAAATTTTAATATTGTGAATATTTCTGCTCTAAATTTCACTGGCTACACTGACTCTGTCCCTGGGGGGTCATTACTGTGAGATATTACCTCAGCATTGTACTCTCACTCAAGATCCCAATAGCCCTTTATGAGCTCTCACTCTTTATGCCAGATCAGTACCAAGAAGTTTCTGGGTCACTAGAGATGCCAGCTCTGATATGCTGAGCTCAGAGCATCATTATGGAAGCACACGAAGCTTTATATAATCTCACCCCCTCAGCTTCTGCTCTGGCAAAAGCCCAGGTCATGGCATGACACAACCTTTGAAGCTTCACTCGGGACTGTGCAGTGGAAACATTCATTCCTGGACCAGAATCTGACCAAATCCTCTCCCACCAAAACAAGTCTCCAAATGACTTGGGGAGGTGACAACCCCTGATCCTGGGATGCTTGTTTCTGTAAATGAATTTAATGGCATCTAGCCACACTAATGTATTTGCTTATTGGTTGTGGCTGCTTTTGAGTTATAACTGCAGAGTGGAATGTCTCTGACAATAACCATACAATCCATACACCCTAAAAATGCTGACAGCTTAGCCCTTTGCAGAGGGACCCCACTAATCCATCTTCCACTGTGCAACACTGGGTAGCAAGAGGCTACCAAAGTTTTCCCATTCTTCTCACCACCTGCCAGAGATTTTTTGATTGAGTATTTTGTACTTTAAAGGATTTTGGAGCATAGACAAAGACTTAGCTCGGTAAACTAAAGCATTTAATTTAATTTAGAAGTTACATGAAAAACCACAGTGACTGTGAATGCATTCTACAAGGGCCTTTTAACTGTGTGCATCTTACTTGAAAGGGGACTTTAGAAGATGATTAGTTTATGGGCTCAGTGATGGAATGGGTGAACGTAACACTAGGAAGAAAGGTGTACCTGTGATATAAATGGGTTGATTAGTGAAATGAGGGACATTAGGAAATAAAGAGTTGCCACCCATTGGTTCCCTGTGTCGGCTAATTCAAATTAAGCATGCTAACAGAAAGGCTGAACTAATGGCCATTTATTCATACATGCATGAATCACTATGTGAGCTGAGTCAGGAAACCTTCCTCCCACATAGAAGGTGAGCACATGGTCCCCTGTGGTGAACCTGGGTGGGCAATACCTAAACTGGAATTGCTTGCTAGGTCAGGAGAGCGTTAATAAGAACCCATCAGCATTTCTGAAGTCTGTGAGAGCAGCTCAGAGTGGAGCATGAACCGGGGATTCCCAAGAATGAGTGCTTTAAGAAACAAGTTCATCCCCTGGGAAACGGGAAGCTAGTGAAGTTCTAGGCAAGAGGAAAAACAGAGCAACACGGAAGCCAGTAGGTAGAGAGCCGAAGGCACAGACAACAAGGAGGCAGCAAAGGAGGTTGAGGCCATCATATCACTGAGCCAGAGGCTCAAGAACAAGGCTGGTATTCTCTGGGAAGACAACTGAATGATCCATGTATATGGAATGATCTAGATGGAGTCTAAAATATAGGCACTTATGGCTAGATGAAAAGTGTTATTGAGGTTTTCTGTTTGTTTTGTCATTAAAAGGGATATGGACTAAATATACAATGTGACTTGTCAGTAGTAATTTTAGCAGAATTTTAAGAGCCCATTTCAGTAGACCCATTCTTAATGAATAATAATAATAATAAACAAATTGTGCCTCTCTCTCCCTCAGTTCCCAAATATGTCCTCACCCAACACAGACCAGTTGGTTACAACAGGCCATTCAAATCCCCCAACAAAGTTCTAAAATGGTAGCTCAGAAAGGGGCTATCCATCTGGTCCTTTTTCATGAACTTGGGATGTCTAGAAGATACAGAGACAGCAAAAGAACATAAATAAGATTAAAACACATTTGAGTGAGTCATCAAATCTTGACTTTCTGGGAAAAACTTGTGGGATTTTTGTAACATAAAATATTATGTCACAGTACATAACATGGGTTTTTAAGAACATTGTCACACACTAATTAAGGGGAAGGTGTTTTTACTAAACTGAGAAATGCCAAATTTCTATACAGACTGAATTTCTAACCAAAGAAATTCACGGGGCATCAGTATCCACCAGAGAAACTAGCATTCCAACACTGGCATTGCAAGCCAGGCATACTGGGAGATGCTGATGCATGCCCAGAATTCTCTAGCATGGGTTTTGGAAGACAGCAAGCCATGAAGGAACTGACAAGGGGAGGAGGGATTGTAAGGGCACCTGTGCCTCTAAGATCCTGCTTGGCTTTAGTGGGTTACAGCATATGCAAATAACTGTAAAATGTTAAAGTATACTTTGTATAGGCAAATGAACTGTAAAATGTTAAGGTGTACTTTACATATGCAAATGAACTGCAAGACATTAAGGCGTACTTGGTATATGCAAATGAACTGTGAAATGTTAACGTGCACTTTGTACCTTGTGTCGAGAACTGTAGAACTGTAGAACAGCAGATGGGAGCTACCTACATTATGTGTGTCATCGATAACAAGCTTATC